TAGGTCAGGTTCATAAAATTAGATTACTCTTTTTTTCCTCTTCTTTCTTCTTCTAGTTGAGCTCTGATCTTCCAGTCATTGAAGTCAGGTCAAGTGGGTATTATTTGCAAGTGTGGGTGTTCTTATGCATATACCCTCTCTTCTTATCAGCTGGATGCTTCACTCTCCACTCTAGTCCTCTGTGGCTATGTCACTGACTCTGGGCCTAAGAGTCCTCAGGTCTTGCCACACTGCTGGCCCACCAGGTCTCCACTTGGGTTCACAGGAGTCTATTGAACGTTGTAGGGCTTATAGAGCTCCTTTTAAAGTATGCGTTCTTAATTTGAGTGCCAATTGCTTTCCAGAATGATTTGACAAGTTTATGTCCTTACGCTTGAAAGTTTTAAAAAGCAAAGATTCTCTTTGATAACTAAGGTACATGTGACCCAAGTCATGGTCTTTTCTATTCCCTTATATGAGCTCTGGTAGCGTAGTGATTACAAATCGGGCTGTGAACCTGAAGGTCAGCAGTTTGAAACTACCAGCAGCTCCGCGGGAGAAAGATGAGGCTTTCTACTCCCATAAAGATTTACACCCTTGGAAACCTTGTACAGGGTTGTTATGGGTGGGAAGCAACTCAATGGCACTTAACAACAACTACAGCATATGCATTTGAAAGCGGGGCAGTGAAAAAGGAAGACAAGAAGAATGGATACATTTGAACTGTGCTGTTGGTGATAAATTTTGAATACAATGTGTATTTCCAGGAGAACAATGGCAGATCAGGAAAATACAACCAAATAATTCTTAGTAGTGATGAGGAGACTGACTCATCTTTAGGAAAAATCAGTACCTAGAAAAGGATATCAGTTTTTGTGAAGTAGAGGGTTCAGTGAGAATGAGGGAAGCTCTTAGTAAGAATCACAACAGTGTACTCAAGTGTCCCAGTTATCCTGAGGATGTTCCAAACTGGGATGCATTTTTTGTGTTTTTTATAAGGTCATTAGAAATTGGAGGCAACTGGACAACTAACAACAGTGCAATACCTGAGAATTTCTGTTTATTTGACATCCTGTTAGTATGTAGTATGGTTCAACTTTTGAATTTTTGCCAGATAGCTGTAGAGTTGCATGCCATTGTTTGAATTTGCCTGATTTCTAATTAATTTGAGCCCCTCTTTATAGATTTTCTAGCCATTCAGTTTTTCAATTCTTTGAATTGCCGCCTAAGTCTGTTGTCTAGTTTCCTGGCTTTTCTGTTTTCATTTGCACAAGTTCTTTGTATAATCTATGCTTCTCAAACTTTTAAGTGTACCCTAGTCACCCTGAGATCTGGCTAAAATACAGACTTGGATTTGATGAGGGTAAAATGGAGTTTGAGATTGTCCATTTCTAGTAAGTTCCCAGATGGTGCAGAAGCTGATGGTCTTGAACCACCCTTTCAGTAGCAAGGCTCCAGATCCTAGTTTAAATTTTGCAAGTTTCCCTCCAAGTATGTCATGTGTTTATTACCTTTTCTAGATCTAACATAACCTAATACATCAATAGTTTGTCTTGTGGTTGGTTGAAGCTTGTTTACAAAATCCTTCGCCATCCTTGAACCACAAAGATCTTTTTCCATCTTCCTTTGTTGACTTTATCATTTTATTTTAAACTTAGGGATTTTATCTATTTGAAGTCACCTTTGTGTTGGGTATGCATTAGGTAATCAATTAAAATTTTTCTTGAAGATGATCCAGTTTTTCCAGCACCAAATAGTCCAATGTTTCTCCATTAATTTGTGTTGCCACCTTCATCTCTAGTTCTTGTGTAAACATGAGTCTATTCTATTTCATTGGCTCACATATCTGTGTCTATTTTTACAGCTTTGAAGTTTGTTTTTATATCTAGAAAAGCACATCTTCCACCTTTGTTCTTTTTCAAACTTGACTTAACTATTTGTGGAGCTTTAGCCTTTTAGATAAAATTTAGAATAAATTTGATTCTTCAGGAAATTGGTTGAAATTTACATTGCATTAGCATTTAAGTTACAGATTAATTTTGGGGAAGAATTGAAAAATTTACAATGCTAAGTTGTTTCATTTGTGAATTAGGGATATTTCATTACTTATTTAGCTCTTTCTTATTTTTTAATAGAGTTTACATTTTTCACCATTAAATCTTCTGGATTATTCTTAGTTATGTTAATTGCAAGTAGTTCATGGTTATTGTTGCCTTTGAGAATATTTTATTTTTTACATTTTCTAGTCAATTATTTTATATGTAGAATGTCCAGTAATATTTATAAGATGATCTTGTATTTCACAATCTTCATTTAAAAAATTTGTTTGTTGCTTTGATTAGTTTATTTTGTCTATATGTATGTAAATTATTACATTGTCTGCAAACAATTGTGCTTTTGTCTATTTTTTTCCATTCTTTGCCTTATTATATATGTTTTCTAACCTTGTGTTTTTATAAATAATTTAAGATAAATTATAATTTTAGTTACATAGGAAATAGTAAAATTTTAATGAAATGATTAAAAAAAGTTCAAGTAACGATTCTGTGCCAGAGGCTACATTCTTTCAAAATTGATAGCACAGAGAACAATGACAATATAGATATATTTGTTGCGTTTGACAAAATAGAAAATTATAAGTTTAGGCAGAAAGAAAAACTGAGGCAAGTTTGCTTTAGTATTATTACTGTTTACACTTAATTATTATTGTTTATAGGAGTTCTGATGTGGTACTGTTGGATAAACACTGGACCGCAAAGGTTGGTTTGAATTTCAATGTCAGTGGTTCAAACTCACCAGCTGTTCCATGGAAACAACAACAACATACATAGAACAAATATCTGTTGCTGGTTCAATGATTAAAGTAATTAAGGTACTAAGATATATTCCCAGTGAATTGAATATATGATAATAATATATTGTTGTTGTTGTTGTTAAGTGCCGTCGAGTTGGTTCTAACTCCTAGTGACCCTATACTGGTTTTCCGAGGAGCAACTGATGGGTTTGAGCTGCTGACCTTGTGGTTCGTGATCCAGTGCTGATTCTACAGTGCCATACCAGGAGTCCTGTTTTATGTATATATGTTGATAAATGCCATTGAATATATTCTGACTTATATCAACCTTGTATAGGGTTTCCAAGGAGTGACTGGTGAGTTTGAATGGCCAACTTTGGAGTTAGCAGCTCAGTACACATATACATATATTGTTATTGTTGTTAAGTGCTGTTGAGTTGGTTCTGATTTATACTGACCCTGTATAGTGTTTCTGAGGAGTGGCTGGTGGGTTTGAACAACCGACTTTGTAGTTAGCAGCCCAGTGCTTATCCTACAGTACCACAACAGGCCCCCCCCTCTTCTCTATATGTGTGTGTGTATCTATCTATCTAGCTATAGAATACTGGTATGATGCTGTAGGATTAGCACTGGACTGTGAACCACAAGGTCGGCAGTTCAAACTCACTAGGTGCTCCTTGGAAAACCCATGCAGGGTCACTATAAGTTGGAACTGACTCTGTGGCATTTAACAACAACACACACACACATACACATGTAAATTAGAAATTTTTTTCACTCTGGCTGTAGAACTTATGTCAACCAACTTTTAGACAAGACAAATATATCATTTTTTGACATAATTTCCTTGCTTTTTAATATACTTTATCCATCTCTCAACTAGCTTTCTTTATTCCCTTATTAAAAAGTTTTAGGCTGATCTATGAGTTACGAATGCACCACTGCCTTCCCTTCTTCAACAGAGGTGAATCTTCATCCTTGAAGTGCTGTTTTCAGGGAACCAAACAGGTGAAAGTCTGATGGAGCAAGATCAGGTTATAGGGAGGATGCTGTAACACCTTAAAATGAAGTTTTTGCAGAGTGTCAACAGTGTGGGCAGAGGTGTGTGGATGTTCATTGTCATGCAAGATCACAATGTCCTTGGATAGCAGTCCCCTCTGTGTTTAATCTGAAGTTTAGGCTTCAACTCTTCAGTGAGCATCTCATTGTAATATGCATTGTTGATTGTTGAACCTTTTTCCTGATAGTGTGTTTTAATACTGGCCCTTGAGAATCCCAGAATACTGTAAGCATCCATTTTCCAGCTGATGGTTGACTTTTGAAGTTCTTCATCAGCAATTGAGGTTGTTTCCTATCCATACTCTGTCGTTTACTCTCAGGCTTGTAGTGATGAATCCATGTCTTGTCACCAGTAATGATCTTTTAAAGAAACATTTACCTTCTTTCAAGTATTAGTCCAAATTTTGTTTGCAAATGTCCAAACACTTCTGTTTGTGCTCCTCCATGAGTTGTTTTGGTACCCATCTCATACAAACTTTTCAAAACCCAAGTTTGTCTTGGATTATTTCATAGGCAGAGCCATGGCTGATTTGCAAATGATTTGTTACATAATCCACTGCCACTCATCTACTCGACAGAATCATTTCACGTGCATGCTCAATGTTGTCATTGGCTGTAGACATGGACAGGCGTTTTAATATAACTGCAGTGCGAATAATTTTTGACTGCCATATCTATATGTGTGTGTGTGTGTGTGTGTATGTGCGTGTGCATGTACACAAAAGTATACACACACATACACACAAGTCTGGCCACAACTTTTTTGTGTTTATTCTTTTTTTTTCTTTAGGTCAATGATGCCTTCCTTCATGTGATGCAGCGCAGATCCACCGGCAAGGTGCTCATCGCTCTTAAATAAGTCCTCACCTCAGTAGCAAAGACAGTTTGTCCAACTCCAAGCGTATTTTCCTTTCAAGAAACCTGATTGTCCTCCTGTGTTCCTAAAGGTGCCACTGACGTCCTTACTAATCTAGATTTAACATTTTAGAGTCATCCTTGACTCTGTTTCCTTATTGCTCATAATTAATAAGTGGTCATAGTTTAATGTACAAAATTGAACCCTTTTGAAAACAAAAGGGTGATATTAAAAATGACACCAGGAAAACAAGTGTTTCAGGCAAAGCAGGCTATGTGGTCACTCTATTCATAATGCACTAAATGCTGAATTCACTCAGTACCACCTTTAAGATCGCTCTCACTTTCATAATCCTGTTTGTCATTCTGACTGTCTCTCATGTGCTATTTCCAGTGACCTCAAAACTGGCTTTCTGACTTTCAGACTTCCCACACCCTCTCCATCCATGTTATACATTATTTGCCATGGTGACCTTCCCAAAGTATAGATACAACTATGTCTTGCCTCTAAACCCCTGCACGTGCCTCAACATTGCCTAAATCACCAACCCACTGCTGTTGAGTTGGTTCCGACTCATAGCAATCCCATAGAACAGAGTAGAACTGCTCCCTAGAGTTTCTGAGACTGTCAATCTTAACTGCAGCAGTCAGCCTCATCATTCTCCCACAGAGTGACTGGGGGTTCAAACTGCTGGCTTTTTGCATAGCAGCCTGGTATGGTGCTGTAGGATAAGCAGTGAGTACAAGGTCAGTTTGAATTGCAAGATTGGCAGTTCAAACTAACCAGCCGCTCCTGTGATTCGGAACCGACTTGACAGCATGTAACAACAACAGTCAAGGACTTTAGTAGTCCCACCACAAACCCCAACATTGTCAACATGGTGGAACTCAGACTCCTTGAGCTAGCATTTAATTGTGATCTTAATATTGCCTCAGTCTACTTTTCACTCATATTCTACAAGTGCACTGGTCCTAAGCATGCACAGTCCTTTCCTGCCTCTCCCTTGCCCAGCATTCTTGCTGCTCACTGATTTCTGTAAGCCTTCCTGATTGCAAGACCTACTTCTTCCATGATGCCTTTCTCCTCAGGCAGGTGGTAATCTCTTCTACCTTCCTGTAGCTTCTCCCACAGATTGTCACATTCTTCTTTGCTTCACAGAGAACATCCTATGTACTGGAATGAATACAGGATTCTGAAGCCCTGCTGTGGGTTTAAATCCCAGCCTCACTATTTTGGAGGTGGTTACTTAAGGCCTCTGAGCCTTCAATGTCTCAGCTGTCAAGGAGACATTACAATATCTACCTCATGGGGTTGGTGAGAATGAGACATGCAGTGATTATGTAAAGCACATGATAGGTGATTAGCAAATGCTTTCACTTCTTTTTCCTCTCCTTTCTAAATGTATTATAAATTCCTTAAGAGCAGGTACTATGTTTAACACACCTTTGTACATACCACAATACCCAGTATACTGAGTTACTTTGGGTAAGTAGTCAATAAATTGAATTGAATTTGAATTACTTGCAATACTTGAGTTGTGGAATTAAATTTAGGCTATGTTACCCTCACATCTCTGTGAATTCAGTCAGGGAAGTAATGAAAGAATATGTGCACAGTGCCCGGCTTATGTGGAAGTAAGCTCAAGTCTTTGCCCATGACCTGGGCTGTAGAGGGGTCCTACATCTTTGCTGTTGTTATTGTTATGTGCCATCGAGTTGGTTCTGACCCATAGCAACCCTGTATAGGGTTTCTGAGGAGCAGCAGGTGCTAAGAATTGTACAGAGTTCCGGGATGGACAAGCAGCTAATGTACTTGCTTTCTAACACAAAGATTGGAGGTTTAGGTCCACCCTGGCAATCTACCTCTTAGAAATTCAGCCTTTGAAAACCCTATGGAGTATAGTTCTACTCTGTTAGGGATTGCAGTGAGTCAGAATCAACTCAATGGGCTGGTGATGCGTCACACTGCTGTTCCTGCTACATGAAAAGAGGGGAGGTAAAAACAAGTATCTAACAGAACATTGGAGTCCCGGTGTGGCCCAGTGTGTGCCAGACTGCAAAGCTGTTTGAACTGCATGGTCGGCGGTTTGAGCTCAACAGCAGCTCTTGGAAACCCTATCCAGGGTTGCTATGGGTTGGAACCAACTCGATGGCACTGAACAACAATAGAACATTGGTTTGAGTACATATACCTGATTGATGAGGTCCTGTTCCAAACAATGGGGTGAGAGGGTCTCTGATCTGATAAGTATCTCAGGCCATCTTTCAGGGTCTTTCACCAAGATTCCTTTGAAGAATGCTGTTGTTGCTTAAGTACTATCAAGTCAATTTGGACTCATAGCAACCTTGTATAGGGTTTCTGAGGAGTGGCCAGTGGGTTTGAGGCACTGACCTTGTAGATAGCAGTCCAGGGTTTACAGGGAATGAACATTTGGGGACTGAATTTGAAATTGAGAAGTTCACAGAAGGTGAAGAGGAGGAGGAAGATGGTAGGGAAGCCACCCACTGGTACATTCTGGATGCTAGAGATGCTTCCTTGTTGGTCCAAGCACTTACTGTTGGCTCGTCTGCGTCTTGGTTGGCAGGTTCTAGTCTTTGGGGGAAACTCTACCCTGTGGTTCCATTTAATGACATACCTCTCCTCACCTGCCTTACCCTAGTCCTTCTTCTGAATGTAAGTCATTTTTGTATTTATATGAAAGTTGATTTTCAAAAATACCAGTAAACTCAACATTGAGATTAATTTTAGAATTTCCTTACACCATTTGGGATAATTGGAGATATGTGGATAAACCTCAGGAGAGAAGGAAGACAAAATCTGGATGGGGAAAAGTACAGGAGCCCAGCCAGGAGCTACCTGATCAGTAGGTGCCACAAGTAATAAGTGTCCCCAGCTCACTAATGTCAAAATGACTTAGATTGAAAGTGGCAGTCATTAAGGAGACTAAATTTCTTCAGGCTTAACAACTATTGGTTAGAACCCCTAATGACCTGCTCTGTGCTTGCCTGTGTTTCTACTTCATTGAAATGATTTGATTTGAAAGCATCTGAGTCATATTTTAGTCATCGTTTGGTGGTTCTGCCATTTGAGCCATTAGTTAATCTGGAAAAAAAAAAAAAAATCAATGCAGCTCTAAGTAGCAGCACTTACTGCTTTATTCACAGACTTTAGCTAGCTCCCCCTAGCAGACTGGCTGCTGGAGAAATCACTCCCACACACCTACTTCACCTCTTTCAGTAACTGTGGGTCTGTTCACCTTCATACTTCTCTCGAAATCAAAGTGAGGCATTGAACTATTGGTGCTGGTGGTGGTGGTTATGTGCCATCAAGTTGGTTGATATTGTTGTTGTTATGTGTTATTGAGTCAGTTCTGACTCATAGTAACCCTGTATAGGGTTTCCAAGGAGCAGCTGGTGAGCTTGAATCACCGACCTTGTGGTGGGTTCAAACTGACCTTGCTGTCCAGTACTTATCCTGTGGTGCCACACCAGGACTCCGAGCTATGAAAGAAAATAGAGATGTCTTCATAGAATCTTTTATAAATATCAAAATCTATATAAACTAAGGAGCGCTGATGGCATAGTGGGTTAAGCATCTGGTTGCTAATCACAAGGTCAGTGGTTCTGACTCATCTGCCACTCTGCAGGAGAAAGAGCAGGCTGTCTGTTTCTATAAAGAGTTAGTCTGGGAAATGCTATGCAGCAGTTCTACTTTGCTCTGTAGTGTTGCTATGAGTTAGAGTTGACTCAAGGATAGTGTTATTTTCTAAGTGCAAACTAAGAAATAATCCATGTTATTAGTTCTTTCTCTTAAGACCATATTAGTAATTCAAAGAGCAGTTATTTTTTAAAAATCTTCATTATTTAAATAAAAACCATGTGAGGGGATGACCTAAACAATCAGTCAAACAAGCTCTAGCATGTTGGAGTGTTTGCTTCTGTTTTGTTCTTCATCACAGCTTATCGATAGATTGAAGATCTGAGTCAGAACTGTGCTGATTGCTGCAATGTTATTATTATTCAGGAACGTATACAAGGGGACTTTGGTTTTTTATATATAGTAGTTAAAAATGGCCACTTTTCTAAACCTTAATGAATTGCCTCATTATTTAAAAAAAAATGATACTGTTAAAATAGGAGCCCTGGTGGAGCAAAAGTGAATCACTCGGTTATTAACTAAACTGTTGGCAGCATGAATCTAACAACAGCCCTGAGGAAGAAAAGACCAGGTGATCTACTCCTATAAGAATTACAGCCTAGGAAACTCTTTTGGGCAGTTCTATTGCATTCTATGTTGTCACTATGAGGCAGAATTGTCTAGATGGCACATTTCAACAATAGCAACAAAGTCAACAAATAACCACACAAATAGCACAGAGTCATTGGAAATATAGTCAGATCATCTAGACGTTTCTGAGTATGGATTCTTATTCTACTTTTCCTCTATTCCAGTCTCATTCCCATTCTCTAGGTAAACCATTGTAAGCAGTTTGGTATTAGTCTTGCATCACTTTTTAATAGCACATACACACACACAAATATACACAACACAGATTTTGTATTTTTTGTACTTATATGTGGGTTTTAAATATAACTGAGCATAATGTGTGTACTACTGTGTAATGTACTGTTTTTAATCAGTAGTCTTATCATGGGCATCACCCTATGTTAGCAAATATAGTTATCTCATTCTTTTGAATGGTTGTATAGGAGTCCTGGTGAGGCACTGTAGGATAAGCACTAGACTGCAAGGTCAGCGGTTCAAGCCCACCAGCTGCTCCTAGGAAACCCTATACAGGGTTGTTATGAGTTGGAACTGACTTGATGGTACTTAACAACAACAACAACATAATTTTTCACAGTGAGGATGTAAATCACATGGAACTATTTTCTTATTTGTAGCTTAATTCCATAGTAAATATTTAATCGATGTACCTCTACCTACCACGCACAGCACAACATAAGCACAGAGGACCTGCTGTTGAGCACAGGTAAGCATATTTC